CAATGTCGACCACCAAAACACAGCAGACGCGCCGCGCGCCTCAGTCCGTCAGAGCCCGAGCGGAACCGAGCAAATGAAAGTGAAATCTCATCGCGGTGCGGTAAGTCTGACGCGCGCGTCAGTGCGTCTGTCTCAGAATGCACTCTTTGATTCTCATTTTATTGCATGTACGTTTATTGTCAGGCTCACCACATCCCTTTAATGCATGTTAAAGAGGCGTGGCGGTACAGAAAGGACGCAACAACCATCCGAAAAATGTTGCATTTGCTTAGCAACAGAGGAAAAGATGAGATGTGCAATTGTCAGCTGATTGCATGATGTATATCGACGGGCTGCATGGTCGATATCTGACAAAAGTGCTTTGAGATACGCATGAAAGGTTCTAGTGTGTGTTTCATGTGAATGTTTACACCACTGTACACTATTAATATCATTTGTGTGGATGTCTGTATGCAAATACACACACATACAAGCAAAACTGAAACAGAAACAAAGAGATGGGGTTTGGTGTTATGTGGCCTGCTGTGCACGAGTCTGTTAATCATTATTTTTTTTAAATGTTTATCTAATTACTTTACAATACGTTTTATTTCAGCCTGTGCAATTGCTAGCAGAGCATAACAATCTTATCAAACGCAATACACGTTATTAGTGTACTAATAATACTGCTATGTATTGTTCATAATGTGCTTACAAACAGCAAGACAGCTCTGAATATGCTTCTAAAATCATAACAGAGAGCACAATATGTGTTAGCTGTAATGCTACATTTTGCATGTCAGTGCTTATTTAATTTCGTTTTTTTAAAGTAAGATTGCTTGATAAATAGCTAGGTAAACGATAATGTTCAACATTACAAAAAATAAAAAAATTAATAATAATAATAAATAAATTCAGATCATCGGGACCTTTTCGTGAAACTTAAAGGACGTCATATGATGCTTTTTTAAAAGATCATTATTTTGTGTATTTGGTGTAACAGAATATGTTGACATGCTTTAATGTTCAAAAAACACATTATTTTTCAAATACTGTACATTATTGTAGGTCCTCTATGCCCCGCCTCTCTCAAACGCTTCGTTTTCAACAAAGTCCCTCCTTCCGACAAGCACAGTCTGCTCTGATTGGACAGCTGACCCAGTGCATTGTGATTGGCCGAACACGGAAAGCACTCGTCAGAAATGTAACGCCCCTTACCATAATCGTGAGCATCATCTTTCAAAATAAATGTAAAGACAGAGCCCGAAAGGGGAACAGAGTAGCGTGACAGACACAGTGATGAAGCTGGTATGTGTTTGCAGTACACAAGCCACGGTTAAGACAGCTGACTCCACTGTGATGTGACCCTCTCTCTTTCTCTCTCTCTCTCACACACACACACACACGATGCGCAAAACTCTGCATTTGAACAGTCAATAGCAAATACTTAAACTAATAACAAAACAGTAGCTGATTCAGAAGCGCCAGATTGTCATAGCAAAGTCAGAATGACCTCCTCTCCTAGGTTCACGAAACGGTCGTCCATAAAATGCATTGCTGTTCTGTTGTAAGTAATCTTAAAGATTCCTAAATGCATCTACTTGCGGAAGGCCAAATAAAGTGCTTTTGCTTTCGCCTAGAAACACACAGCGTCTCCCTGACATGCTGCTTCAACACTAACAGTGGTTACTGAAACCACGCCTTCTTTCTTTGCATGAACATTTGGCGGCATTACGCAAATCTTCCCACATAGTGAGGTAGATATGTGG